AGTAGCCATTTTGTGAGATGAATGGGTACTAATCAGGCAATATTTGACGACACTTGCGTCCAAGCGAAACATACGCTCATAAAACGCCGTTGGTTATATCTACGAGCATAAAATCTCGTTCGGTCCACACTTCTGCACTGATTTTGACCCAGTCTGTGTTCAGCGCTTCTTCCGTGTAGGAGGTTCACAAACCCAAAACTGGGTTTCGCTTGATCGATCACTGAAGCAGAAGGCTAATCAATAGTAAGAAGATCTGTCATTTAATGGTGGGAATATTGCTGAAACGTTGCTACTTGTCCTCCTGAATCGATTTCTACGACTGTCTCGATCATTTTGCTTTGGGATCAAGAGGACAGTTCGCGGCCAGCGCAGGAAGCAGCTCACTTCCATTGAAAACTCGTCCAACATCAACTCATATCAGGTCATCTGGGCTATCTTAGCTTGAACATGCCGTCAACGTTTCAATTTTCGCACAACTCCATATGTCTGATTTACTGAGAGACTAGTTTGTCCTCTTGACATATGCCAAATCAATGAAGAGGCCATGAATTCTTGACAAGGAAAAATTATGGAAGCAGCCACCACGGTGGGCCACCTACTGGCCGAAAACCGCTGCAGAACCGTCGAGCCGATACAGTTTCGCGGTCGTGACCCTCTGGACGCGCTATGTAAAAGAGACCCAATTACTTCTTGATCGTACACTGCAATGTTGAAGGGAAGAGTGAGTGCGAAAAAAGTTGCTTTAGCAATCAATAAGGAAGGGATCGCAACAAAAAATGCTAGTGGGTATGAAAAATGCAGTGATAAATCCATGTCCACCACAGCGAGAGCGCTAAAAAGTTAATGAATGGGCGCAACTGGAGCGCTGTAAACCAAGGACATCAATTGGTGCCAAGAACCTTTCCGGAAATGAAAGCCAGCAAAAACGCGTTCCGCTAAGGTTTCTCTCATGAATTCTTGACGCTTCTGAGAAGTATCGGGTATATTATGCCACACATCGCATGGTCTGCAGCGTGAGGATGGCCTTTACGGCCCACTTAGGTCGCCGGCGATGTGGCGGCAGCGGTGGGGACGGTAAAAGTCTGACCGATCAAGAAAACTTTAATATCTTCTGAAAAAAAGGAAAGAAGGAAAGAAAATGGATTATCAGTGGACTCGCAGGGAGCGAAGGAGCGGGTGACCGACGAGTTGCATTGATTGCTCGGCCTGGAGCCTGATTGACAGGCTCAGACAGAGGGTCTTTGAAAATCGTCAAATGTCCAGAAAGAACACATTTCATGGTTCACTCTGAGGATTGGGACGGCTCAAGGCGACTCCAAGGCGGAGGAACTCCTAGAAAGTTTCCGATGACACTTACGGGTTTAGAGCCTTTCAGACTCACTTCCTCACCATAGAAACCTTTCTGAGCTCTCTTTTGAACTCAACTACTAGCTAAATATCCCCCGAGGAAAGGATCAGGATGGAAACGAAGAGGCGAGGGAAAAGAAACTCTTGAGGTGTTCCTAAAGACCGGACAAGCTCTCACTCCACTACTTATCCTCATTAGCATTCCTATTTCTCACCTTCGAATCACAATACCAATAAGCTCCGCGGCCTTAGCGGACCGCAGCAAGAGAGGGCAATATGGGGATGGAAAAGTTAGGTGAACACAAATCAGCCGACTCGAATACGAAATAAACAGAGAGACAAAATACGCAGTTATTTGCTGAAAGAAGTGTTCATCACTGAATGCCCCAGTGAACATCACGAGCGAGAAGATTGAAAAGCTGACAAAAGCACCACTTAGGCGACAAACAGCAACCGAAGTGTCGTGTCGTAATTATGGCTTCAAATCCATTTAGGATCGATAAAAAAGAAAGTCACATTTGGTTGGGTTGGAACGAGAGTCGCGCTCGTGGAGGTGTAGAGCATCTCCCACACTTCCGCGGTCAAATGACTGGCCACAGGACCATCAGGAAGGGTTAGATCATTGAATAGTATGCACATTATAGCATGCTTTTGTACAGATCAATTACATGTTTAACCACTGCTACGATTCTGGGTGGACGTTGAGTGCGTGGCGTACCCAAAATGGATTGATCTAGCTGGGCTTCATACTCTATTTTTTGTCAGAGAGCAAAGAGAGTTCGCATGTCAGCCTGTTGAAGTTTTACCATGACGGTTCCCTTACGATCCCGCTGCTAAAAATTTACCATTACTCTAGCAGCTCACGTAAAGTCGGAGATTTGCCACCCTAGCCAGGTAGTTCCTTCCTTATTTCTTCCATAATGGCATCAGTTTCAGAAAAACAGCTTTTCAAAAGCAGGAAACAGCCTAAAAGACTTAAGAGTCGAAACATTTAGTTGCAGTCAGTGATTATATGGAAAACAATTCCGTCAGAGACATCCTCATTCTCGTTCTGTCCCATTGACAATCTCCAGCTGTGCATAACCCATAGGACAGCAGGGAAGTCGCCGGCCAGGGCTCACGTCCACTTTTTCCTGTCCATGGCGGCAGTGGCCTGCCGAGCAGGTGGCGTAATTCGAAAAAGAACATTGTTCGCGAGCAAAAGTCTCCAGATCAGCTTAAAAGACGAGAGAGCGCGAGCTGGAGAAAGAGAGAAAAAGTGAACGGGAAACGAGCAGATAACTGGCCTCTCATCTATCCTTCACTTCGATTGAGGGTGGTGAAACATTGGCGCCCACCCAAAGACAATTTCAGCAGCCGCTGATGAGCGCCCATACGATTTACAGTTGCTTTAATGCGGAGAGCGGCTTAGAATGTCAGTTTTAAATTGAAGTTCATTCCACTTCTCATGGGAAAGGGGAAAATGACAGCTTGCCACTTGAAAAGGTCATGAAAAGATCATAAGGGGGTGGAGTGAAGCCGTGAGTGAACCGCGGCGACAAAAAGCGCTGCACTTGGTCCGGGCGTGCTCATGTCAACGGGCCAACCAGCGTTTGTCATGGCGCTGACATATGCATTACAATTATTGATTTTACTGATAGTTGAGTGGATTTTCCGGAAAGCGAAAAGCTTCTGAAATGTCGTACGGATCCCAGGAGAATAAACGAGCCTTCGGATTTGCTGGGCGAAGGAGAATGCGGAAGTTTCTCTGGGGAAACACAAACTTCAAGAGTAACGATTGGATGGCTTTTATGAATATGTAGTCCATTGGGTTCCCATCCCGCTCCAAGGAAATCAGTTCCAATGATACTCAGTGCTCGTGGTGTGCCTTAAGCTGCTCCATTCATGGCCCTGAGTGGAAGTTGAAGGCATGGCGCAAACTGGACGACGTAAGCATCAGTCCCACAAGATCGCTCGTTCAAACACAAACAGTTGAAGAGATAAGTAAGCACAAAAACGATATAAAGCTAGTTTTGAGGGTTTCTCACTGAAAA